CCGGGTTGAAAATCCAGAACTCACTGGATTCGCCGTTGAATCTGAGAAAAATTGTGAAAGAGCTAGAAGGGAAAGTTACCACGCTAGAGAGGGAGCTGTCGCCCGGGCAGACACAGAACATCGGAANNCCAACACGCGCTTATTAAGGGGGGGCAGAGAGTAGGCCGCTGGATCGACCCTGCAGACAGCCTGCAGCAGAGAAAAGCTAGGCCCATCCTAGTGGAATTCGGAAATCCCGCGGTCGGGGACCAATTGCTTAGTAACTATGAGAAAATCAGCGAGTCGCTGGGGGGAGGTATCAGATCACACCTGATATCCGAAAGCAGGGTACATGGCAGACCCCAGAGCACTGCTTTTCATCCGCGATAGGGAAGAGCAAGGTGACCTGAAAGGCCATCATCAAGGTAACCGCCGTAAAGGCCTCTCCGGAACCGTTTCCTCCTCAGAAACCGGAACACCAATGCAAGCCAAGCTACGCAGCGGTGGTCTCCTCGACTCCCTTGAGGTCGGAACTGTTGGTACCGGCAGGACCAAAACCGTTAAAGAAGCTCGGAAGCAAGGGGAGACCCCGCAATCACCCAAGGGCTAGGGTGCAACCAATAGTGCAGAGGGCAAAGACCCCATACTCAAGTTTAAAAGGAACCAAACTTCACTTCAGATTGGGCAACTAAAGGCAGTAGCGGCCGTGGGGCGACCGCTCAGCGCCACACCTAAAGCAAAAGCCAATACGCAAGTAGTGCCTAGGGTGCAACCGAATCAGGAAAAACTACTGACTCCCCCGACTAAAGTCGTGAACCTGACGCTGACGCCGATGTCGACCACCAGGTCTACTCAGACCCCGGAGTCTAAAAAGGCCGAAGTAGAGGCCCAGGAACAAAGCCCGGAGCTAGGTATGTATGACAGATGTTCATTGGTCACCGAAACTGGAGATGAGGGCGACTCGTTAATCAATGACACTGTTATTGAAATGGCATCAATCCCCACCAGGTTAAGGTCTCCCGAAAGGAAGGGTAACTGCTCCATGCAGGATGTAGAGCGAATTGTTACGTCAAAAAACGAAGTTGGCCCTCGGGTGTTACGCTCGAGGGCACTGATAACTTGAGGGATAACCACCCACAAGCCCCGATTTTCCAGCCACACAACCTAAAACTGTGGTAAACGAATGTGTGCAGAGTTGGAAACAAATGGGGTAAGCTAGTGATTAGGAACCAGGATTGCGACATTGTGATTCTTGCTGGAACTTGGTTATACAAAACCATATCAGTCGAACGACTAGTCCCTCCAAACTTTACCCACTACAGAACCGATAGGGAGGGTGGGCGACGGGGCAGGGTCATACTGCTCGTTCGTCGGCGGTATATCCAGTGGGAAATGCCTCGGCTAACACTTTGTACCCCAACAGTGCAAGCTACAGACTGCATTGTAAGAAATATAGGCCGGCACTTTTGCATATTATGTGTTCACAGATCACCAAACTCCAGACCGGAGGATGATAGAGCGCTAATAAATCTCATTACCACTGTCGGTAGGGGAGAGTACTCTCCGATTATATTGGGGGATTTTAATCTCCCCGTAATAGAATGGCAGTACGAAGACGAGGGTGAGGGGCAAGTAGAACATGAATTCATGAACTGCTTCCATGCGGCATCACTCTACCAGCACATGAGAGAACCAACGCGTATCCGGCTAGGACAGAGACCGTCTACCTTGGATCTGGTCCTCACTCGGCAATAGAGTGAGATCAGCGACCTAAGACAAGAGGTTCCTCTCGGTGAAAGCGACCACAATGTACTGCTGCTAGAAACATGCATTGCGAATGAAAAGCCACCCCGCAGGTGGTGCCGCAATTTCGGGTGAATGAACGTAGAGGACTTGAAGCGAGATGCTCAAGCCAGAGCATGGGAACAGAAGCTTCTGTCGATCAACGATGGGGGATAATCCGCGACCAGCTGATAGAGCTGACGGAGAGGCATGCCCCTTGCAGCCTCCGGGGGATACTCATAAAACGCAGTGGTGGAAGCCCATCATCAAACGCGCCACAGGGGAAAGGACTCGTAGGTGGAATGCATTTGTTCCCTCAGGAGGACATGAACGATGGCTTCAATATAAGAAGGCGAGAAACTATGCAAGCAAGCTAGTAAAACAGGCGAAAATGATCTTCGAGGTTAAAATCGCTAAGAGAGCGCGCCAGGAACCCAAGATGTACCATGGCTATGTGCAATCGAAGACTGCACTAAGGCAATCGGTAGGNCGGTAGGCACCCTGGAGAACCCCGGAGGTGGGCTGTCTGTCTCAGATGACGAAAAATGTGAGAGGCTGAGGAGGTATTTCGAAACCGTCCCACGAGAGTTTTTAGACACCCCTCCAATGGGTGATGTGGAAGTTTTAGTTAGTAGTGTTCTTGATGTCATGGTGGGCTTGAATGTAAGCAATTCCGCTGACAGCGACGAGCTACATCCGGCCATCATCAAACCACTAGCTCATGTGTTCGCCCCTGCTATAACCGCACTCCTCCCCTAAGGGCTGGTAGAGTACCTAGTTATTGGGCGACTGCTACAGTGGTAACCATCCACAAGGGTGGAGATAGAAAGCAACTTGGTAACTACATACCCGTAAGCTAAGTAAGGGCTTAGAAAGCATTGTTAGGAATGCTCTCTTTGAGCACGTCACTCGTCATAGGTTGATTAATCCTGCCCAGCACGGCTTTCTCAAAAAGAGGTCATGTCTGAGCAACCTTCTTTGTTGCTTAGACGACGTTACAAAGAGGTTAGCTGGAGGTCAGGAAGTCGAAGCGTGCTACCTGGACTTCAGGTAAGCTTTCGACTCGGTAAATCATCGGCTCCTGATAGTAAAACTCAGGGGGTTTGGTCTTCCAACAGCTCTAGTTAAATAAATAGAAGCTTTCCTCACCAGCCGGACCTATAGAGTTCGGGTGGGAGAAGCTCTGTACAACGTTATAAGCGTATCCAGCGGACTGCTTCAGGGGTCAGTGCTAGGCCCGATGCTCTTTCTGCTGTTTATAAATGACCTGGTCCAAGAGATAGCGGTTCCTGCCTTCATCTTTGCCGATGACGTAAAACTAGTGAACTCAGGAACTGTAGATCAACTGAAGTATGATCTGGCTAAGGTGGCCCGGTGGACACAGAAGTGGTACTTCGAGCTAAACGCCACCAAGTGTCAAGTTTGTAAATACCGTAGGGCTTCCGGTTTGCGTGACTACGATCACTGAACTGACGGTCTTCGCTCGCGTAGCCCGAATGCTGGATCTGGGAATTTTGGTCAGCGAGGACTTTAACCCCAGTGATCAATACCTGGCCGCCGCACAAAAAGCGAGGGGGCAATTGTTCCAGATTAAGGCGACCTCGTCGTCAAGGAAGACTGAGGTTTTCCTACCTCTATATAAGGCCATAGTTAGACCGCAGTTAGAGTACTGCGTGCAGGCTTGGGCGCCTTGCTTGAAGAAGGATATCATTGTCATTGAGATGGTTCAACGGTTAGCTACTAGGATGATCGCAGCGATGAGGGGTAAGCCATATAGTGACGAGTTAGAATTCCTAGGGCTTTGCTTCATGTAGTGGAGACGCCTGAGAGGCGACATTATTGAGACTTTCAAAATAATGAAGGGGCTGTCTGCGCTGGAGGCGGACAGCCTGTTTACCCAAGCACCGCTCGATTGAACAAGGGGGCATCATCTGAAGCTAATAAAGCCCAGAAGCCTACTCAACCTCAGAAAAAAATTCTTCATAAGTAGAGTGATAGATGAGTGGAAACAACTACCATCTTCACTACTAGACTGTATTACAGTCGGGGAAATCAAAAGGCAATTAGATGGGGGTCTGGATCAGCCTCTGTTCCGAGATTTGGTAGAGTGCCTACTATTGAGAGTAGCTATTCCATGCTGCCTATTGTCGATCATTCCAATGGTCCTGCGACATTTTGCTACTTGGACCTCGGTGTGCTCCGAGAAGTTGAAGGTCGACAGACGGTCGACAAGAAGTCGAAGCTGCGGAAGAACTTGGTTCCGGCTGGAGCAAGAATCTGGACGCTCGGTTGGCGAAAGCCTTTATCGTACTGTGCCGCCTGACCTGACCTGGGCGAGCCTGGCCTTGAGGTAGCTATTTTCCATCTCCACTCGGTTGGTAGTTAGGTTTCCTCTCGGCAACTGCCAACCGAGTGGAGACGGAAAATACGCACCTCAAGACAAGCCAGTCCCCTCGATCTTCATTAGTGGATGTATTTAAGAAGGTGCTACAACGACTAGAATCACTGGAAGTGACGCATGAAATTCGCCCTGCTAAAGATTCCTTTTAATTTTAATTCCTTTAATAATAATAATAATAATAATAGTATATTTCTCGGATTACAACGAGAGACATGCATGTGGTGCACGATCATGGCAGACAAGGTACA